TTTCCAACAATTCAATGTCTTTCCTAAGATAAGGAGCCCAAGACTGAACACAATATTCAAAATGTGGCCTAACCAGTGGCCTGTACACTGAAAGTATAACCTATTTAGATACAACCTAAAATCCTATTTGCCTTACCACTAGCAACAACACATTGTTTGGATGGTTTAAGAGACTAAGCAACCATTACAACAAGGTCCCTTTCTTTTATGACACGGTTAAGGTTAATCCCATAATCCACATGCATTATCTTGCATTTATTATAATTAAAACCCATCTGCTATTTATTTGCCCAACTCACTAAATGATCTTAATCCTTTTGTAAAGCAACAGTATCCTCTTCACAGCTAGCAACACCCAATACCTTAACATCATCAGCAAATTTAAGTAATTCATTCATCATTCCTTCATCTATGTCATTGATATAAATAACAAAAGAGCAATGGTCCTAAGACTGAGCCCTGGGGTACCCCACTTGTGTCATTAATACAGTTTGATTGAACTCAGTTTATAACATCCTTCTGTTTTCTTTCATCTAGCCACTCTTCTATCCAATTAGCTAACTTATCCCCCACACCTATAGATATTTTTTTACAAGACTTTTATGGAAAAGATTAAGAAAATCATCTTGGAGTAGGAAGAGATGCAAAGGAAAAGAAACAAGGAGTTTACACGGATTAAAGACAAAATAAGAATGGAAGGATATGAATGAAATTGGAAGATGAGGAAAGGACAAATAAACAAAAGAACAGGAGTATTGGAGAAGGGTTAAACAAGCAACCTACCGTATGTATTATAAAAGATGGAGGAAATTGGTCAGGTGTAATGTTTATTCTTTGAGAAAATGCTTATCATAGCCATTTAATTGATAAAAACAATAAAAAACTTTCCTAAATAACAAGCTCTAGTTACAACTGTAAACCTTGTTATGTAGCTATAACACTGCATTTTTAGGGAAGTTTTCATAAACTAAGTTGAAAGGCTTGGTTACCAAAAGATATCAGAAAGTCTCATCACAAACTGTGTTTCAGAATTATTTAATTCTTAAAAGTTTATTCACATTGAAGGATAAGTTATCTAATATATATATATTCTTCAGATGTTGTATATTTATTAAGTTGTCCAATTTGTTGAAATCAGTATGTTAGAAGCGGCACTTAGAGTTGAATTTCTTACATTTTCGAGGAGTGATGGATAAAATAGGGATGATGACATGCTAAGACAAAATTTGCCATTTGTGTTACACTAGTGGAAATTCAGGATTTTTTTATATATTTCCTTTTAGAACTAAGAACTTAAAACTCGTACACTATTAAAATATGGATTATTAGCTAAGATTTTATGCTATCCTAATTGGTATAACATAAAAAAGTAGTTTAATAAAATTTGAATGTGAGACACTAAAACCTTGTGTCATGCGCAGTAAAGGGTACCCGTGCCGATAGGGTTAACCAGTGGTTTTTGGAACATGCATCAGGAAGTTCGAGCAACACACGTGTGCTGTCACTTGACTATTTAAATAGAACTTTTCCAAGTTCTTAAATGAGAGGTCAGTGAACAAAAACTACCATAAAAGAAACTCATTATATTCCTTGAACTAAGATTGTAATCAAATTCAAAATAATACCTGAAAAATTATCTGCATGTATAAGCCTAATTGTACTTTGCACAATAACTTGACAAAAAGAAAGAAAAAAGAATGAAAGTGAAAGAAAGAAAGGAAATAGATAATTTTACCTTTGAAAATTAACCCCCCCCCAGTGGTTCAATGATTTCGATATTCGTGTTGGATACAGCACAGATAGCTCATTGCGTAGCTTAACCACAAACAAACAAAATATGCCAACTCTCTTACTAACTTAAAATCGTTGAAGAAACTAAATGTTTACAGAAACATGTCATATATTAATATGAACCTTATATAAGAAAATAAAATACAAATATTACTCGAATATTTTCAAATGAAGAGTTCCTTTTAATATTTTCCTACAAGGATAATGTAACCAGCTGAAAGTGATACATAAACTATACTAACTCATAAGAGCTCCTCAGTGGCTAAGCGCTAAATCTGAGGGCTTATAGCGCTAAAAATCAGTTTCCAATACCGAGGTGGACAGTGCACAGATAGCCCGTTGTGTAGCTTTGAGCTTAACAACAAACAATAAAAATATTTATGGACATTGACAAGAAAGAAAAAGGATTCAAAAATCTGTACGTTCACTAGAGACATAAAGAAAAGCCTTAATGATAATGCAAATGCAGCAAGTCTCAAAATAATACTATTTTTAAACACCCCAAATGCTTTTGTTGTAATAAACAAAAGCGTTCGAATTAATCAGATAGAACAGATTTTAAGGATAAATCTGTCATATCATACCTTACGGTCACTTTTCTGAGAGTTCTCCAAAATGAGGGTAGTTTTCATCGCAAATCAATTTTGTTCTTAGTTTGATTTCTAAATGTCAGCATATCAGTCGTTTGTATAGCCTGTATAGAAATACCAGTCACCTTTGAGCCTGTTCAAGTTTGTACAGAAAGGTCATCGTGTTGAGATTATGATATATGAGTGTATCATGTACTCTGTATATGTGAACTTTTCCACCATCTTCAATAATACAGAAGATGTATTGTAGTTCATTTTTACGCAGCTTTGGCGTGAAACAATGTTCCAGACAACCATTGGAATTTCTCAGTTTTTCACGTGACCTCGTGCTCTTGTCTTTCTCTCTCTCTCCATTTTTTGTATTAAACGTCATCTTCTCTGTCCGCGAAAATGTAGAGACATCCTTTTGTTGGCAGAGTGGGTGACATCGGTATGTTCGAGGCGGCGAATTTTAAGAAAGGGTGATTAGTCACGTGATAATGCGATCGTGAGGGACTGAAAGCTGAACTTTCACGAGCCCACATTTTTTAGACAGTGCTATTTGATTTTCGACCTCAGCTCCAAAGCCAGAAGCCAAGATCACCACATCAATTTGATTTTCGACCTAGACAGTTCTATTGTTCTCTATTTGCTTAGTTCTAGAGGATTTTGTCTTGGTGGAGGAAAAACTGTAGTTATACATGTTATTCCTGTACAGAACCAGTTTTTTTTAACCATCTACGCAAGCACAAACACTGTTCGATTTCTTGTGTAATCGATAAAGATAATTTCTCTTCAAACATGTCCAGTTGATATATATCTTGCTCATCTTGGAAGAGAAACAAAGACCATTTCCCAATGATGCTCTGTTCTAATAGCACTGACTCTGACAAGATGCAGTCCTTCATGATTAGTATGTGTGCCAAACTAAAATGTTTTGGTGGAGACTT